CGCGGAAGAAACACCGGGAGGCGCCAGAGTCCAAGGTGAAGGAAAGCGCAGCAGTCGCGCGAGGCAGCAGTGAAGCGGTGGAAGCACCAAGGCTAAGCAAAGCAGGAGATCCTACGCCTGACGCAGCAGGGGAGTCTACGCTAGACACCGCTACACTAGGCAACACGGGATAATAAGAGGGAAGCACACTAGAGTCATCAGCATACATCACATGCAAGGCCGCTACAATGGCATCCATGTCCAAGTCAAAAATCCTAATGCTACGCCTAAGCAAGCTGTGCCAGTCCGGGAGGTCGGGCGCCGGGCCAAAGCGCTGGCGGAACAGGTCGTCCAGGCGACGAAAACAACGAGGAGTAGAATGACCGATCTTACCGCAAACGAAGCCGCGGCGAGGACCGGTCTGGATCTGGTACTGACAGGGCCCGCCTCCAGAACCACCGCCCGGTGCACCACCACGCGCACGACCACCACCAGCTCCAGGCCACCCAGGTGGGAGAGTACTCGCCTGCCTCGTCTGCGGCGGCGGCTGCGGCTGCTGCGAAGGCTGCGGCTGCGGCGACTGCTGCTGCTGCGGCTGCTGCAACTGTGGAGGCAGCGGGGCAGCTGGACCGGGCAGGGTCCCCACGTCCGCACCGGCACCGGACGACCCGCCTCCACCACTACCCCCACCCGCACCCCCGCCGCCTCCGCCGCTCCCAACCTTGGGGCGGCGGCCCTTCGCCGAGCGGGACTGCACTGCAGCAGCAGTCTCAGCCACAGCGACAGAGCCGTCGGAGAAGGTACACTGAGCGGGGGCACAACCCTGAAAGATAGGGACCGGTACTGTACCGCTCGCCAGGGCGATGGAGCGGTGACGAGTCTCTATGGCAGTCAGGGTGTCAACAAAGTCGGTGAGGGTGAGAGCAGCAGGGTGGATGCTAAGGAACTGGTCGCGGGCGGCGGCAAGGCGGTCAGGGAGGCGGGTGGCAAGGAGGTAGAGGGTAGAGGTCATGGGAGGCTGGTGGACTCTAAGCTGAGCATCAGTGCAGGCAGCGCGCCAGGCCTCATCTATCGAGCGCAGGTGGGCAGCGAGGTCAGAGACAGTGGGGAAAGACGCCAGGTCAGGAAAGAGCAGGGGAAGGATCAGGCGACCCACTGAGGCAGCAGGAGGGGTAGAATAGCGCTTGATGACAGCATCGAGGTAGGCCTGGGCGGTAGGAATGGTTCTAAAGCGAGGGCGCTCAGTGGGGGGGAGGGCATTGCTAATGGCGAGCTGAGCAAGGGCATCGCGGGAAAGCCAGACAGAGCGGGCAAGGGCAGCAGCGGCAGTGGACTCGCGCTCAGCGGGCGTGGGATCAGCGGGCAGCACAGCAGGGGGGTCAGGGCAGGGGAGCATACCGTCTAGGTGTGCAGAAAGCGGGTGGCCGTCCTGCCGCTGGCCAGTGAGGTGGCGGCGAAGGTCAGCCAACCACGCCTCGAACTCCAGAGGCTGACCCTCAACATCAAAACGAAGCTCAGCAGCCATGAGGGGCAGTGGAGGACAGTGCAGTGCGGTGCAGTGCGATGCAGTGCGGTGCAGTGCGGTCCAGTGCGATGCAGTGCGATGCAGTGCGGTGCAGTGCGGTCCAGTGCGGTGCAGTGCGGTCAGTGCGATCCAGGGAGGTGCAATGCGATGCAAGGCGGGGCAGGAAAGTGCAGGAGGGTGCAAAGTGGTGCGGGGAACGGGGGACAGTACCAGGAAGTATGGAGGGCCGGGGCAGGTGCGTCGGGGCCGGGCAGGCACGACAAGGCCGGGCGGCGGCGACGGGGCCGGGCGGCGGCGACGGGGCCGGGCGGCAGCGACAAGGCCGGGCGGCTGCGACGTGGCCGGGCGGCTGCGACGGGGCCGGGCGGCTGCGACGGGGCCGGGCGGCAGGGACGAGGCCGGGCCGGACACAGCAGGGCCGGGCAGGGGCGACGGGGCCGGGCGGCTGCGACGTGGCCGGGCGGCTGCGACGTGGCCGGGCGGCTGCGACGGGGCCGGGCGGCTGCGACGGGGCCGGGCGGCGGCGACGGGGCCGGGCGGCAGGGACGAGGCCCGGGCAGGCCACAGCAGGGCCGGGCAGGGGCGACGGGGCCGGGCGGGCGAGCAGGGGCCGGGCAGGTGCGACAGGGGCCGGGCAGCCGCGACAGGGGCCGGGCGGGCGCCACGCGGCCGATAGGCCGCGACCTGGCCGAGCAGGGGCGACGGGGCCGAGTAGGGGCGCGACGGGGCCTGGAGGGGCGTTACCAAGCCCAGGTAGGGGCGCGACGGGGCCTGGGGGGAGCGCAATGGGGCCCAGGAGGGGCTCTACGGGGCCTGGGAAGAGCGCGACTGGGCTAGGGAGGGGCGCGACGGGGCCTGGAAGGAGCGCAATGGGGCCCAGGAGGGGCGCTACGGGGCCTGGGAGGAGCGCGACGGGGCCCTGGAGGGGAGCTACCAGGCCCTGGAAGGGGCGCGACGGGGCCTGGAGGGGCGCTACGAAGCCCTGAAAGGGGCGCGACGGGGCCTGGAGGGGCGCTACGAAGCCCTGGAAGGGGCGCGACGGGGCCTGGGAGGAGCACAATGGGGCCCAGGAGGGGCGCTACGAGGCCTGGGAGGAGCGCGACGGGGCCCTGGAGGGGCGCTACCAGGCCCTGGAAGGGGCGCGACGGGGCCTGGAGGGGCGCTACGAAGCCCTGGAAGGGGCGCGACGGGGCCTGGGAGGAGCGCAATGGGGCCCAGGAGGGGCGCTACGAGGCCTGGGAGGAGCGCGACGGGGCCCTGGAGGGGCGCTACCAGGCCCTGGAAGGGGCGCGACGGGGCCTGGAGGGGCGCTACGAAGCCCTGAAAGGGGCGCGACGGGGCCTAGGGAGGGTCGCGACGGGGCTAGGGAGGGTCGCGACGGGGCTAGGAGCACGACGGGGCCCAGCTAGAGGGGCGAGCGGAAGCGTGAGGGGGGGGGGGGGGGGGGGGGGGGATCCTACCTACGCGTGATACCATATCAAACAGTGAAATTGATGAAATTGAGAGAGAGAGTACACAAACATATATCTAGCTGTTGTACTCTCTAGAAGATGACCCTATACAGTCTATACAAGCATGATAACTAAACATGTTTGACACCGAACCCATTTTGACCCCGTCACCCTCGTGACTATCGAGCCCTTGACTGGTCCAACCTTCGACATTCAACCCTGGTCAATCGCCCTATACAGTATATTGCCTAGGACTCATTTCTATCAACGCGCTGTAATCACGTTTCCCTTATTGAATACTGGGGTATTCGATGAGCTATAATTCATAGCATTATACTTCGCACACCACAATGGTGTATGTTTTTGTTTCTGAGCCTCATTCCATTTTCAATTTTCCTTCACATAAACACCTCCAGATGTTGAGGCGTTTTATATCGTGGCTATCGGGACGGGATGAGCTCGCTCGAACCCCCTTTGCGGGAAAATTTCTGCCGCGGACTGTCCACGAAACTTTTCATACTTTCGTGGACAAGCCCTACTTTCATGGACACCACATCGAAGTTTTGCTTCTCCTGTGGACTCCGTCAATACTTTCGTGGACTCCCGGCTTACTTCCATGGACACACCCATATTCGCAGTTAAAAAGGAGTATTCAGCAATGTACAAGTGATTACGGGCACAAAAATCGAGATACTCCAGAATATCTGTCCGTCGCAAGTAATCGCGAGCTACAGTGTCGGAAACCAGTTCTGAAACAGAATCTCGGAGCTTTTCTGGGAAGAGTTTGCAGCCGCACTCAAATATGCAGTGAATTTTCAAAAACAGGGTGTATTAGGGTCCGCGTGGTAAAAACACTTATTATTCAACTCAGAGCTACCCAACAAAACATAATATGCACGTGCTTGACGAGCCAGCATCAACCAGCAGTTGTTTTCTCCTTCATAATAAATAATTTCATTATTAGTAATTCTGTGAAGAAAAACACCTAAGAAATATATTTTTTAGAATCACTTGTTTTTATTTGCATTAGTATGTTTCCTGTTCAAACATAAAAAAAATATTCCCAAAAACGTGAATGTAAAATAGTTAAATCATTTTCTCATCTATTATTATTTTACTATGTACCGAAATTTTAATAATAATACAATCAAGACGTGAAACCTTCCATTTATATAGTCATGTTCACCAAACGTTATTGGTATTCTGAGATTTCACATCTTAGTTGAAAATGCAAGCCAAGTACTAGTTGAAATATTTGTAAATGCCAGAATTCATGGTATTCCTGATTCTTGGTAGGCAGAGATTTTTAATGAGCTCTATTAATCTTGTAAGCGTAATATCTATCTTTATTCTACAACGTGATTTTTTTGTAGCGATATTTCACCAGGTCGGTCTGCTACACTTATCGTTCAACGAAAAGCGCTTCGTGACAGTCATTCAAATGAATTTTGAGGATCGCTTCAGAGTTTCTATAAACACGCGAAACAGCTAGCGGACTTGGTGGCTTGAAAATACTGTAGCTTGCGACTATTTGCGAGGGACTTGATTACGCCTAATTCTGCTTTTTTTCTCCTGTCAGCATCTGTACAGTTCTGTATGTTTTTTTTGTTTCAAACTCGCGTGTGTCCATGGAAGTAAGCCTGGAGTCCACGAAAGTATTGACGGAGTCCACGGGAGATGTGAAAGTTCGATGTGGTGTCCATGAAAGTAGGGCCTGTCCACGAAAGTATGAAAAGTTTCGTGGACAGTCCGCGGCAGCAATTTTCCCCCCCTTTGCCTTTGAACAGTCTGGCTGCCGTTCGGTTACCAGCTTGTTTCGCGAGTGCTTGATGACTGGTGATTAGGCTGGTACAGTAGCTGACATCCAGGTCCACGTTTCCTACCCCCGTTGACTGTTCGTTGATGTTCGCCCTTCCAGCTGCTCGCGACTCGTCAAGTCAACCCAGACCGACGCGAGCCGAAACTGAGCGCGCTTCGGAGGCGAAATTGAGGCCGCAGTTGAAAAGGAGGGGCTAGCAGAATCTGAGACATTGAGATTTGGAAACATTCTTCCACACCACACTGCCCCTCTCTGGAAACCTGGACACACCAACTGAAACCAGCGACGCATCCAGCTTAGTCTCTCAACCATGGCAGGCGCGCTCAAGGCAATGGCGTTCTTCGTTCTCGGTTTCATTCTTGGTAAGTCTCTACTCTCTCATCTCGGACTGCCTGCAATTCTCTTCGCCATAACTAAATGTTTTCGCATCTGAAGGAATGTCACTCTCTCATCAGATTTCAAACCCCTCTTTTCCCAATGTGCCTGCTATTGTGCAGCTGCTGCCCAGCCTGGAGGCATGGGCCCGGGAATGGGGGGTCCAGGCGAACCCGGAGGCCCCGGAGGCCCCGGAGGACGCGGCGGCTGTCCGTTGAATCTGACGGTGGTGGGCAACCTCACAGGCCACGTGTCCGCGGCCTTCGCCAACTGCTCCTCCTCCGCATCTCCCGCGGCGCCTGGCGCGTTCTTCCTGGACGTGTTCAAGAACGCGTCGGGGAACTACAACCTGTTCTTCGGAGCGCTGCTGCTCGACGTCTCCGGCGCGCCCCCCGACTCGCTCGCCATCATGCAGGGCGCCGGGTGCGACTCCTCTGCCGCCCAGCTGCTGTCTCTGCCGGCCGCTGCTGAGAACTGGGTGGCACACTCGGGATGGTGGCTGCTGCGCGCCGAAGCCCACCTGCAGGGCTTCGTTGAGGACGCGGACGCCACTGCAGTGGAGGCGATCCTCTCCGGTGTGCCCAACGCCACGCTGCCTGCCCCCCCTGCCAACGGCACCATGCCCTTCCCTCCCGTAGGCGGCTTCGGGCAGTTCCCCCCAAATGGGAGCTTCAACGGCACTTTCGCACCCAACGGCACCATGAACGGCGGCTTCCCCTTTCCTCCTCATATGGGCCCTCCCCCTAATGGCACCTTCAACGGCACCCTGCCTCCCGCCTTCAATGGGACGTTCAACGGTTCCTTCCCCCCTCCTCTCAACGGCTCCTTCCCCCTCCTCCCAACGGCACCAACATCGCAGCACCTGGCAGCCTGCCTGCGCCTGTTGCTTTCTCGCCCATGATGGGCAGGAGGCTGCTGGGGCTGTTCTGGCCCGTCAGCAGCACCCAGGAGGAGACAGTGCCTGCTAGCGAGGCTGCTTCTGGCAAGGATGACGGGCAGGACAGCGGCATGTTCTCCTCCCTGGCCAAGGCAACTGCCGCACTCTTCCCCGGAAGCGACGGCACCTCCCTGCCACTGTGACGCCCGAGGCAGCTGCAGCCGCGGTGACAGCAGCAGTGAATGCGTCCGGGCTGGCAGTGCTAGCAGTGAACAGTGACTCGGGCATGCAGTGGGGCGGCAATCTGGTGGGCTTCCAGGGTGGCCCGGGAGGACCCATGGGGGCTGTGGGGCAGCCTTAGGACCCCAGTGGCCGGGCCGGCATGGTGCTTGATGGAAGGGTAGGAGCCTGGCTGCAATGGCATCAGCATGGGCAGAGTTGGCATCAGGCATTGTGTTCACATCAGCAGCTTGTGTGTGAGTGTGTGCGTGTGTGCTTGCCATGGCAGAGAGAAATTGGTAGCGTACGTGCCGTTGGGATGGGGAAGCGGGTCCAGGAGGGGTTGGTTGCCATGCATGTACTTGTGCTGTTTGAGATGAGTACCGTGCGAAAAAAATATTCACACCGTATGCTTCAATAATGGAACTTGCCCTGCTTCACCAAATGGGGCTCTCCCCTCGCCCTGCATACCACCTGGGGCTCTCCCCTTGGAAAAGACTGCATCATTTCCTCAGTACATGCATAGCATATGGCGGGGCACCATGAACTAGGGGAATTCATACGAGCAAATCTCAGTTCCAGAAATGTTTCTGAGCTTGCTGTATTACAGCCTGCAGATCAGACACCCCCAAAAGTGGTCGATTGGCGAGGCGACGCCGCACAAACCCGCAAGGGCATGCGGCGCTGATGTACTGTGGGAGGGAGGTCCTTTAAAGCCATGGTACACATTCACTTCAATTTGTTTCAAGTGATAAACGTTTGAAACAGTGGTAACTGAGTGATGCCTGCTGGAGGTGGCGAGGTCTCGCTACCTGCAGATAAACATTTGAGGGGGGATTTTGGCATTTGTGTACTGAATCCCGATCTCTACCTGTCGACTCTCATCCCCGCTTCCTCACGTTTTCCCTCACGTTTTCGATCGCCCCTTCCCCCAACAATCTCGATTCCCCTGGCCCCCCAATTTCGAAACTCCCCCCTGCCCCCTCAAATTCGATTCCCCCTGGCCCCCCGGTCTCGAAACTCCCCCCTGCCCCTCAAATTCGATTCCCCCTGGCCCCCCAATTTCGAAACACCCCCCTGCCCCCCCAAAATTTGATTCCCCCTACCACCCCTTGCTCGTCCAACCCCCCCCCCCCCCCCCCCGTCAATTTCGTTTCCCCCTTCCCTTCGCTAGTCCAAATCCCTCCCAGTCAAGTTTAGTTCCCCCGTCCCTCGCAAATCCAATTCCCCCCGTCAAGTTCGATTCCCCCCACCCTGCGAAATCCAAAGCCCCAACACAAATCTGTTTCCCCCAGTATCGCAAGTCATTTTTCCCCTCAACGAAACTCAGCCCAATTCGCGTCAGAAGTTTTACTTCGCCTCTCGCCCTCCAATCACTTCCGCCCCCCTTTCGTGACCTCCACATTTCCATCCCGCCCGGGCCACGTTGAATGTGTACCGCGGCTTTAATCTGATCCCGGTGTACTCGAACTGGGGGAGAGAATTCAGGCTCTTTTTTGGCATTTCTAATATGAAGCTTTGTTCCTAGACATACGCCCTCAGCTGAGCTTACTTTTAACCACATAGGCAATAGGGCAAGGATGGAACATGGGCAATTCAGGCGAGGAATGGGCGAGGAAATCAATAATAATGTTCAAACTTACATCAGCTTAAGGCACAGGTAGCCTGCAATTAAGTCAGAACAGGCCACCTTTTATGAAGAATCCTATCAACAATCCCTCTCAGGGCCGCATCACAACCCCTCCACCCTCGTCCTGTTGCATCTGCTCGCCTTCCCGCTCCCCCATTTCGAAGTTGACATCCCTGTCAGGCATGTTAGCAGCGATCACACCATACCCTGTCCCATTCCTCGCCTCCTTGTGCTCCTTGTGCGGGCTGTAGGGGTGGAAGCGGTGATTGTGGTGGTGCTTCTGCTGGTACTGCCGTGGCCGGTGCCGCTCGCCCTGCTTGCTTGCCGCGTCGCCCAGCAGCTTGTCGGGCAGGCGGGCCTTCATCCCGTGTGGCCCTGCCTCCCTGCACTGCAGGTCAACCCCCGGAGCGCCCTCAGTGTTCCACCTGTGGACTGCCTCGGCCTGGCAGCGCACAGCGCAAGGGCAGGGGGGCGAGGCGGGGAGGGGAAAGACAAGAGGACACATGAGTGGGGGGGCAGATGGAGGGACATGGGAGCTGACAATAGAGAGAGGCAGTGGGCAGCAAGAGATGAGGGGCATGGGGCATCAATCACACCTGCAGCAGGGCAGCTGTCTTTCTCTCGTCAGCCATACCATCGTCCACTGCACCACTGCTCTTCCCACCCCTTCCCCCATCCCCCACCTCCTTCACCGCCCCCTCCCCCAGCTCGCTGCTCTCCCCCTTGCTGCACTGCACAATTCCCCCGTAGCCCTCACCCCCTTCTCCAGACCTCAGGCTCGGGGTTTCCGGGCCTGAGGGAGCACTGAGGGCGGCAGAAGGACCGGCAGCAGAGACAACAGCCTCAACCTTAGCAGCAGCAGCAATGGCAGCAGCTGCCGTAGCAGCGGTGGTGGGTTGCTTGGAGGAGGCAGCGCGGTGCTTGGCGCTGCTGACGGCACTGTGGTAGTGGTAGTGGAAGTGATGGTGCACGCCCGCCCCTGCACTGTTGCTGGACGAGGGATCCGCACTGGGGGAGGAGGGCATGGGCAGTGATGGACCCACGATGCGCATGCCCGCGAGGAGAGATGGGGCGTTGCTGCTAGGGGGCTGCTGATGATGGTGCTGATGCTGGTGCTGGTGCTGGTGCTGGTGCACGTGCTGCTGCCTCCTGTCTTGAGTCAAATCACACACGCGTTCCTTATTCTCCTCCTCGTCCCTCCCATGCTTGCGGCTCTCCTGCCCCAACACCGCCTCACCCCCCACTGCCCGCTTCTCCTTGCCTCTCCGCCGCTGTCTCGTCTCACCCTCCTTCCATCGCACCTCCTCGTCCACTCTCCCAACCGTACGCGCCACTTCGCCCTCCTCCCTCGTCCCTGCCTCACCGCCCTTGTCTCCTTCCCTTCTTTCACCGCCAGCGCTGGCAGCAGCAGCGTCAGCCGGGGTGCCTTCATCCTGGGCGGCCGCACATACAGGTGGGGCGACGGTCTTGGAGGGGGGAGGGGGGAGGAGGCGAGGAGGGGCATGTGGGGGCGTCACCTTAGGGGGGAGGCTGTGCAGCGGTCGGAAGACGGACTGGCCGTCGCCTCGCAGCTCGCGCCTGCCTGCGCCCACCACCTGCGATGTCTCCGTACGCCCGGGCCTCGCTGCACTTTCTCGCGCTTCATTCGCCGACCCCTCCGCCTCCTCGCCCTTGCGCTCCCCACCAGCCACTCCCATCTCCTGCCCGCCTCGTTTCTTCCCAAGCAGCTGCTCCAGGCCATCCCCAGCGTTGGTGTCGCCACCGCCCTCCTTGTGCTGCTGCGCCTCGGCAGCGCTGACCGTGTCTCGCCTGTGCTGCCCCACCACCAGCGCATGCGGCACCGTGAGGCTGAGCGGCGTGTGCGACCTGCTGCCAGCCGTGGGCGCACTGCTGCCCTGCGGCGGCCCTCCCACTACCCTCGAGCACCCGTCCTCCCCTGCCGTGTCCGCCTGCACCTTCCTCCTCTTGGCACTCCGATCGTCACCACCTCCAACTCGTTCCCCCTCGTTCTTGGTCCCCTCCTCCTTTGGCCTCGCAGCATCCATCTCTTCACCCTCACCGTCCTCCTCTTCGTTGTTCTCATCCTCCTTCTCTTCCTCCTCCCCCTCCCCCTCACGCCTCTCGTCCACATGCTTCACCGCCTCTGCCTTTTCCTCCACATCTTTCCCATCACTCTCCCCACCAGCATCACCGTCAGCCAGTCCTTTCACTTCGCTCTTAGCAGTCCCCCTTCCTCCGACCCGTCCCTCTCCTGCCTCTTGCACGCCTCCCTCTCACTCGTTCCCCCGTCGCTCGACCTCCCCAGCCTCTCCCCGCCCGCCTCGTTCCCGCACTCGGACGAGTTGGAGCTAGGCCCGTTCTCCCCCGAGCCCTCGGGCCCCCCCGCGCCCTCGTTCTTGGTGCCGCTGCCACTGCCCCCCACGTTGCCGTTCTGCCCGCGGCTTCCCGAGGACGAGGGGGTGGCGCGGACGTCCCCTTGCTGCTCTGCTACCCCTGCCGCTGCTGTTTCCACCCCTGTGCCATCCGCTGGCACGGGTTTCGTTGCAGAGGGCGGGGCTGGTCTGGTGACGGGGGGGGGCGTGTTGCTGCCGCTCATGGAGTGGCCTCGCAGCCGCTTCCTCCGCGGCCCTCGTTCTCCCCCGCCATCTCCACACCCTCCTTCCCTCCTCCCTCGCCTCCCCCTGCTTTCGCCGCCTCGCCTTCCCTCCCTGCGCCTCTTCCCTCTGCTCCTCCGTGCTGGCCATCCGTGCCCCCCTCCGCCCCTCCCCTCCACTGCCCTCCCCCCCCCGGAGCCCGCTCCTTCTCCCCCACCCACCCCTGGGCCACAGGCGCTCATCTTCACACTGACCTCGTCAGCAGTGGCAGTGGCAGCGCCCACCGCACTTTCAGCGCCATTAGCGGCGCCGCCGCTGGGCGCAGCAGCGGCGTGGCGGACTTTGAACTTCTCCATGGAGCGCAGCTTGCGAATGAGGTTCGACTGCTCCCTCTTGTCCGCCACTGCAGTGCCCGCTGCTTCTGCCGTCGACGCTGCTGCACTCGCACCCATGTTCGACCCGCTGCGGTCCATGTGCGCTTGCCCATGCCTGTGCCCATGACCATGCCCATGCGCATGTGCTGTGTGGTTGTGTGCATGTGGCGCGCGGCCCCTTTCACGGGGTAGCCTCCACTTCTCCTGCTTTGAGACAGCCACAGCAGCAGCAGCACCGGCCACCGCAGTGGCAGCATTGACAGCAGTGGCGCCAGCAGCACCTTGGTTGGTGGGGCTGGCAGGCAGTCCAGCAGGCCGAGAAGCGGGAGCGGGAGCAGGCGCAGTAGCAGCAGGGCTGCGTGGGAGTGGGGGGGTGGAGCAGCAGGCATCCTTGTTGCGGCCTTGCTGCTCGCCTGCTGCCAGCGCCACACGCTGCTGCCCATGATCCAGCTCACCCTGCCTCCTGTGGGGCTCCTTCTGAGGCGTGTGTCCGTTGTCACTGGTTCCATTACCGTTGACCCTGGCCGTGTGGGCGTTGTCTGGCGGCGTGGAGTTGGAGCCCCACACGGAGGGCGACGAGTCGGTGCACGGCCCCATGGCGCCGTCTGCAGGACTCATGGTGGCCTTGCGAGCCTCGCTGCAAAAGGCCATGCTCCTGTGCTGCTCCACATGATGCTGCTGCGGGCTGTGCCCATGCACGAGCGGCCTGGCGTCACCCGCACGCCCAGGCAAGGACGTTCGCATGCCTGCGTGCTTCCCTTCTGTGCCGGTGTCCGCCGCCTTGCTGGCTCCAGTTGGCGCCGACGACCCCACCACCGTCTGCTGGGACTCCTGAACGTCCACGTCCACGTCAGCATCCACGTCCGCGTTCACGCCCTGCAGCATGGCGGCGAGGGCCTCCCGCTCGCTGGCCATGAGCCGCAGCTCCTCGTGCTGCCCCTCCTGCCCCTCCTGCCCCTCCTGCCCCTCCTGCCCCTCCTCCCTGCTGCCCTTCACCCGCGCCACAAACCCTCCCTCCTCACCCCCCATCTCCTCCTCCTCCTCCTCCTCCTCATCCTCCTCCCCCTCCTCGTCTGGCCCCACACCCCCCCCATCGTTGTCCGTGTCCCCGAGTGTGTCCTCACCCCCCTGGCTCTGCGACGCGCTGTACGCCGTGTCGTTCGCTTCAGCCTTGCCCTGCACGCCCTCGGGAATCGCCTTACCAGATGACCCCTCCCCCCCATCGTCCCCTGTCTCCACCACTCCACCCATCTCCAACTGCTTCTGCTGCTGCTGCTGCTGTGGCTGCTGGGGTGCTGCAAGCGTGGCTTTGACAAAGCCGGCATCCGCAGCTGCACCAGGAGTCACGCCCGCACCACTAAGACCTCCACCAGGCGCACCTGCAGTGGCTGCATCAGCCTCCCCACCTCCACCGTTCCGTCCGTTCTCGCCCTCCCCTGCACCCGGCCACCCGAGCTGCATAGCAGTGGCAGCAGCGGCGGCGGCAGGGAGAGGCGTGACACCGTTGAATGGGGGGCGGAAGGCCTGCGCGGGCGACATGGGGAGGAAGACGCCGGGCGGCATGGAGCCTTGGAGCGCCCACCACGCGGACGCAGCTGCCATGGTCACGGCCATGGCTGCTGCTGCTGGGTCGTCGTCTGACAGGGTGCGCGGAGGCGCTGGCGGTGACGAGAGCCGCACATCGAGAGTGGCGGCAGCAGTGCTGCCAAGGATTGCAGCAGCACCCGCTCCCGCGCCAAGACTGCCGGCAGTGGCGGCAGCGCCAGGAGCAGCTACTGTGGCAGCACTTGGAGGCACTGCGGCAGCACCTGACACCCCGCCTGCCGTGCCTGCTTCCACAGCCTTGGTAGGGCTCTCCGTCCCACCTGCTGCCGCCTGAGCTGCGAGAAACGGCGCCGAGGGCCACAAACCAGAGGGCGCAGCAGCTGTGGCGGCGGCGGCGGGAGTATGACTGGCAGGCAGCAGCTGGGGGCGGCCTGGCTGCTGCAGCTGGTGCTGCTGGTGCTGGGGGCGCGGGGCGTGCCAGGCGGCGAAGGTGGTGGCGCCCATGGAGGCGAAGGCGGGCCCGTAGATGCGCAGGTACGAGTCGAACGTCTGGAACGCCGCCGCCGGGTGCGGGTGGGGCATGGGCGCGCGGTAGGGCGAGAGCAGGTAGCCAGGGTGGTGCATGGGGTGGAAGCCGGGCGAGTGGAAGTCGACGAAGGGGAAGGGCGACGGGAACATCATTTGCTGCTGCTGCACCACGTCCTCGCCTCCCGGCATGAAGCACCCGGGAAACTGCAGCCCCATCGCGGCAGCAGTTGCTGCAGCCATCTGAGCTGAGGCAGCAGCTTCCTGGAAGGTGGCAGTACCGCGCGCTGAAGCAGCTGCTGCAGCAGCGGCGGCAGCGGCGTAGTCGAAGGGGGGGCGATGGGAGGGGGCAGCCGTGGTGGCAGCAGCAGCGGTGGTGGCGGCAGCAGCGGCAGCGGCGGCATTGAGCATTGAGAGACCTGCCATGGATGGCATGAGCGCTGGCGACCACTGCGACGCCACGCCTGGCGGAAGCTGGCTGGGACTCGCTGCACCACCGTCCATTGCGGCCACAGCCGCACCTTGCTTGGCGTTCTCACTTGCTGCCACTCCTTCCATCCCTTGCCCTGCCTCCCCTTCCCCTCCTCCCGTCTCCACCCTCGCCTTTTCCTGCTGCTGCTGGCTCAGCCCAGCAGCATTCGCCGCAGCGCTGGCAGCCAGGCCTGCTGCTGCAGAGGAGCCAAGCGCAGCGGCCGTGGCTGCTGCAGCTGCTGCGGCTGTGGCTGCTGCTGCGTTGGCGGCGGGGTTGAAGGGGGGCGGGGCAGGGGGGTACCCGAGCAGCTGCTCCATGTACTGCGCCTGCGCCACGCCTGGCTTGAGCGCCGCTGCTGTGGCGGACTGCTGGAAGAGGGCGGGGAGGAGCGTGGGCGAGATGACGCCCGCGGGAGTCGCAACCTTGACTGGGCTCGCTGGTGCGTCCTCCGCCCCCGTCTTCTCCACCTCCGCCTTGCCCGCGCCCACAGCAGCATCGCCTGGGCCGCCCTCCGCCATCTCTCGCATTGCTCCCTCCTCCCTCCCTCCCGCGCGTCCATGTCCCAAACGCGCCTCTGCCGCCGATAATACACCTCGGCGGTCCGCCCCTTGCGGCATGCGCGGTGGTTGCGGCGTGGGGGCGGGGAGGGGCTCGGTGGAGAGGCCTGACTCGAGCACGACGGAGCGGTCGGAGAAGCTGGCGCACGCTGACGTGGACGCGTCGTGCCCCGTCACGCTCAGCGACCGCAGCGCCTGCTGCGCCGCCGCTACCCTCAGGTGCTCCACGCGCCCACGCTCATCCGCCCCTCCTCTTGCGCCCGCCCCCGCAGCCCGCTTGCCGTGTCCCTGTGGCGCCCCTGAGAGTGACAGGCCCTGCGACTCCTCTGGGAGGACAGCAGCAGTCCGAGGGACTGGAAGCGACAGTGACCGCGTCACCATGGGAGGATCTTCGCCCTCCTCCTCCTCTACTTTCTGCTCGTCCTTTGCACTGCCCTTACCCGCCGCATGGCTGAAGCGCCAGTGGTGCGGGTCAGAGAGCGGTGCAGGAGCAGGAGGGGGGGTCGCAAGGGACAGCAGAGGCGGATGGAACGACGGCGAGCGCAGGGGGCTGTGGTCAGCAGCAGTACCAGCGGCACCAGGTGCGGTGGCAAGAGGAATGGTGGTTCTGGGAGCAGGTGGTGGCAGGGATGCGGGTGGCGCTGCTGGGGTGGTGCGGCCATGGCGACTGGGGTGGCGAGCGTCTTGCCGAAGAGCTTCAGAGTGCTGCGCTGGTCGGGCGACTGCCGGATGGGCTGATCGCCGGGTGCTGACGGCGACGACAACGGCGAGATGCACGCGTTGGGACCAGCAGCGTCACGCTTACCTACAGGCGAGCGCACAGCGTGTGCAGCGTTGACATCGTTGTATGCAGCAACGGCGACGGCAGGCGCGGCGGCATGGGGAGGGGAGACATACTTGGACTCGTGGCCGTCGTCGGCGCGCTCGTTGCCGCACGACTGGTCGGACGACACGGGCACCAGCGACCGCGACATCTGCGACTGCGTGCGCTGCGAACTCAGCCCCTGGGACACCTGACGGCTCGACCGCTGCTGCTGCTGCTGCGGCTGCTGCTGCTGCTCTGTTCCTTCTGCCTCTGCCTGCTGCGGTGAAGTTGCCTGTAGCCCCTTGTGTGCGCTCCTCTCTCCGACTGCCGCCTGCTGCACCGCTGCTGCAGGCTGGTTCACCTGCACAGCCTGTGTTGGTTGCGCCGGCTGCTGCGGCAGCTGCGGATGCTTCATGCACGGAAGCAGTGCCTTGGGGGGCGGAGGGGGAGGGGGGAGGAGGGCGGGTGCAGGCTGCTGGAGAGGCTTTGAAAGGCTGTTCTGGCTGTGCTGCCGCTGCGGCTGCTGCGGCTGCGAACTGGTGGCGGAACCCGCCTTGCGCGGGTACGGGTGCGCGGGCTTGCGCTTGGGCCGCGGCGGGGGGATCTCGATGTCCATCTGCGAGGTCGCCGCTGAGGTGCCGTCGCGCTCCAGCTGGCGGGGGGTAAGGGGGACAGTGGCACGAGGAGCACCGAGTGATGAGAATCATTCAAGAGGGGCGAGGGGACGAACGGCTGTTGCAGGAGGGAGCGGGCATGGGGGTGGGTGAGAGAGCAGAGCGACGAGCGGCGGCGTACCTTGGTGAAGAACTTCTGCGCGTGGCTGCGGATCTGCACGGCCGTCTTGCTGCCGATGTGCTCTGAAACGGGCAACGCAAGCACGCACACACGCTGAGATGCGGCGCCAACACGGGCACGCGAGGACAAGGCAAGTGCAGGGTAAGACACGAGGGAGAAGGGAGGCAGTTGGGAAAAGGGAGACGCGCAGCTTGCCTTCGATGCGGCGCCACGCGCGGCCGTAGAGCTTGAGGGCTTCCAGGAACTTGCTGTGCTCGTCCTCAGTCCAGCGCTCCCTCTGCTTCGTTATGGTGTAGGGCTTACGCACCTGCGCACCACGCACGACCGTTCCAGTTCACCAATCACCATGCGGGAGAAGTCTACGCAAGCGATTAGTAGACTGACTGGGGTAAGGACTTATCTCACTGCCGATGGGGATGCACGATTGCAACCGGTGGCGGGAAAACCGAGGCACGTATCGAAGGCAACAGGCGAAAGATACCTTGGCTGTAAGGTCGCCTTCGTTGCCGGCCCAGTCTCCTCCGTTTCCTGGGCTCTTGGCCGCTTCTCCGCCTCCTTGCTGCTCCTGTTGATGCGACCCCTGCTGCTGCTGCTGCTGCTGTGGAGGAGCGGCTTCTTGCTGCTTTTGAATCTGCGCCTCCTGCATCTGGTAATGCTTTTGCGGACCGCTCAGTAACGCCGGGGGAGGAGGGGGAGGAGGCAAGGCCGCTATTTGCTGTTGCTGCTGTTGCTGTTGCTGTTGTTGCTGCTGCTGCTGCTGCTCATGCTGCAGCTGAAGTTGCTGCTGCTGCTGGGCGAGGTGGTGCGCCGCCAGATAGCTGGGGTCGGAAGCGAGCGGCAGGCCAGGGAGCATGCCTGTCTGGCCATGCATGGCCACCTGCTGGCCTGGGAGCAGCCCCATGTGGGGCATGGACGCCTGCGCGTGCGCTCCCAGCACCACCTGCGGTGTTGCCATTCCTGGGAGGCCCGCGGCGGCCTGCAGTTGGTGCAGCTGGTGCTGCTGCGCGAGGCCGGCGTGCGCATGCGGGTGCAGCGAGGGGAAGAAGCGCGCGTGCATGGACAGCGAGTTCTGCATCATCGCCGCGCCAGCGGACGCAGCGGCGGCAGCGGCGGCGGCGGAGGAGGAGAAGGCGAGGCCAGCCATGGTTCCTGCGGCAATAGAGTTCGGCGAAGGCGACCGGACGTGGCCCGTGGTAGCTTGTTGCATGAGGAAGTTCGGCGCGTGCATCGCCATGCCGACACCGCCTGGTCCGGGGGTGGACGGCGCGTGCGCGTGGCCGTGTCCATGCGGAAGATACGACGCTGCGGCCGCGGCAGCAGCGGCAGCAGCTGCTGCTCTCCAATACGCAGCGCTTGTGTCGGCAGCCGCTGCATCCTGCATACTCTGGGGGGGGACGACATGCAAAAGACATAAGAGGAAAGCACGTCAGCAACCAAGTTGGAAAAACATGACGGGTGACTGCTCTGGATGGTCGAAGTCATGCATCCCAGCTGACTAGACGGTCGAAACGACATTCATAACTTTCAGAGATACGACTACGTGTATGCCTCTGCATGCATATTGTCATAAGCGAACCGCATCGGCCGTTAACAAAATCTTTACCTACTTCATCAAGCATTGTCAGAAGGTCATGACGCCTACATGTCTTTCCGCCAGTTCAGGGAGGTTCGGAATACTAAGTAGCAAAATATGGTGCCACGAAACAATCTCCTATCTGCTGCATTTTAGGTCATTGAGACAGGTGACTACGTCCTGATAGATCTGCGGAAACCCGACGAACCTGAAGGCTGAGTGCTGGAGGAATGTTCATCGTGATGGCTCCACAGTCTGAAGCGCGGTGCGATAGTGTCCTACCAGCATCAAGGTAGGCTGACTATAAGCCACAAAAGCGTCCTAACAAGGTCTTAGGAGAGAAAACATCTCAATGTCCAAAATCTAGGTACAGGCACAAGAATCAGTGAGCTCTTGGGCAAGGAAAGCTCTTCTGTGGAGTTTTCTGTCAACAGATATTCCCTGGTATTGTGTCCCTGGATATTCTCGAGGAACCTCTCCTGAAAGAGGGAGGGAGGAGGAGGCCCAGCCAGCAACAACCCATTGACAACAATGCAGGAGGATTGCTGCCATGGGGAGACGGGCAGTGTCAGCCACAACACCTGGGCAACGGCTTCGATTCCAAGCGGGACGATGCTGCTCGAATCTGACGGTGAGAGTGTGATAAGCGGGAAAGCGAAATATCCTCGGCCAGTGCTTGGCCGACGTGGCAATCGAGGTGGGTACTTTTTCGCTTTTCTCAAACCCCACCGTCCGCACATCTCCAGCACGAGCCGCTCGCTCCCCAAAACCAGCGAGTTCGACATTTCTGGCCACATGAAAACTTGTGGTCTAGACGGGAGTCTTGCAAAAGTGAAAAATTTGGCTTGGGAAGCAGGTTTTGTTGTCGGACCTCTGTTCAACCACATGATCGCCAGCTCGACGGAACGAGCAAGCTCGTTGCGTGCCCTCACTGTCTGCACGAGCCAGCTACCAAACCTTACCTTATCCTTCCTAGCCTGGGCCCTAAGTTAGGGAATTGCTTGTGGTCAAAATTGCTTCTCAAAAGACCTGCAATGAGCAACCAACCCCTTCTACAGACGGCTCGTCGAAAAAGGCCCGAGCAGCGCTCATGTGAGCGTCACTGCCACGCTGGAAGCATGCCTCAAGAGCACTGACTGTCAGCCGCACTGCGCTGGACCTTTTTGGATTCGCGCTGACGTTGCACTGAAGGCTAGGGGCGTGGAAGCTACCGAACCGTGCCTACTTTGGCATGAAGCCTTCACCCTAACAGATTTTTCAATGCATCACAACCATACAACAAGATTTCAAGCAAACCTACTGGATGGTTAGATGGGGCGCGCTACGAGCCTTTCCACCACATGTCGTCCTTTCTCTGAGATAAAGGTAGAACAGATGCCCCATCCCAGATCCACTTGACACCCAATGACCAAACGCATCCATCCCGCGAATCTGTAGGCAACGCCTAACTCATCATCGCCTGTTGCAGGTGAAATATGTGGCTGGCGAGCAACCTTCGATAGTGGAGCGCAGAAAGGAAAGGCCAGTAACTTTGAATGCTTATGTCTAGACTACGACTTCGTTATGCTTCAGGCCTCTAGAATCCCTCTTCCTCTTAGCATACTACATACATACAATACGAGACATTTACTGGGAGTGAATTCGTGTATACAAATAGGGTGGACCATGGGTGCTGTTTTCGTCCATGTCCAATTGTGTATTGCATGCATAAGATCCAGAAATATCAGCCACATAATTCACTCTCAAACACCGGAGCACGTCTTGTCAACATATATATATATATATATATATATATATTTGTATAGGTTTATAGGCTAGCTAGGAGCATAACATAGAGAGTACAACACTTAGAACAAAACTACCCTGTATGCCCTATCCTAGTCAATCTCATTACCTTGAGATGGTATCATGCTAGGCTAGGTCTTCCTCGCCCACCCGCGCTTCCGCTTAGCCCTAGTCCTAGCCCTAGTCCTAGCCTGTAGGCCCTGCTCGTCGCCCCGCGCTCGTAAGCCCGCCCTCGTAGCCCAGCGCTCGCTGGCCTGCCCTCGTTGCCCCGTGTTCGCTGGCCTAGCTTGTCGCCCCGCGCTCGTAGGCCTGCCCTCGTCGCCCCGCGCTCGCTGGCCCGCCCTTGTCGCCCCCCGCTCGCTCAGCCCCGCGCTCGCTGTTCCACGCCCGCTGGCCCCGTGCTCGCTGGCCCACGCCCGCTGGCCCCGTGCTCGCTGGCCCACGCCCGCTGGCCCCACGCTCGCTGGCCCACGCCCGCTGGCCCCACGCTCGCTGGCCTGTGCTCCCCGGCCCTGCGCTCGCTGGCCCCGCGCGGACCGGCCCCCTAGCTCGCTGGCCCCTCGCTAGCCGGCCCCCCAGCTCGCCGGCCCCTTACTAGTCGGCCCCTCACTAGCCGGCCCCCAGCTCGCCGTCCTCCTCCCCCCCTTACTAGCCAGCCCCTTCCTTGCCGATCTCCTTCGCGCTGACCCCGGTCCCGCCGTGTCGCCGTGCTGCTGTGCCGCCGGGTCGCCATGCCGCCGTGCCGCTGTGGCGCTGTGCCATCGTGACGCCGTGCCGCTGTGTCGCCATGACGCCGTGCCGCCATGCTGCCGTGTCGCCGTGCCGCTGTGTCGCCGTGTCGCCGTGCCGCTGTACCGCCGAACCGCCGTGTCCCCGTGCCACCGTCAGCCGCTGAGGTCGTGGGATGGTGGACGATGTGCTCCGCCTGGATGCGGAGGATCATGCGATCGGCTTTGAGGCCTGGCTCGTCGACCTTCGTTATCACCTGACAGGTCAGCGCCAGGACGGTTACTCCCTGGCTGTTCATGTCGATGGTACGCTCCCCCACCCCCCTACGCCTACTGCCCTCTCTGATGCCCCCACCCTTGCTAAGCGTGAGGCCTTTTCTGCTGCTGCGCTTGCTCGTGCTGTCTAGGAGTCGCGCGACGCCGTTGCGCAGCTTGCTATTAGTCATGCCCTCCCCCTGTATGAGCGTCCCCGCTTTACCACTGTAGCAAACGGTAATGAATTCTTAGATGTCGTCGTTGCACACTATTCCACGCCCGCCACAGCCTCTACTGGCTGCTTGATCCTCCCCATACTGTTCCCCAATCTTGCGTCCTTCCCCACTGGCCCTGACCTTGCCACTCACCTCCACGCCCTTGAGACTAGCTACCCCCCCTAGCATTGAGGCCTAGCTCACTATATTCCCGCCGCCGCATTGCGCTACCCTGTACCTTATTGCCACACGCCTCCAGGACTGCCTTGCCACTGCCCGCGACCATTTCCTTAGTCAGCACCCTGGTGACCTCACCCTTACCGCCTTTGTCACCGCCCTGTCCAAAATAGAGACCTGCCAGCGCACTATCGCTCAGTCTAGCGGTACTGCGGCGGTCCCTATCTTTCAGGGCTGTGCTCCCTACCAGTGCACTTACTCTAACGTTCCTCCCACTCTTGCTGAGGCATCCCCTGCCGCTGAGACCGCCGTTGCGGCCTCAGCGCAGCCGCGTCAGGATAGGGGTCGTCGCCCCAAGGGGGGTGTGGCATGGGGAAGGGTGGTGGGGGTGGTGGGGGTGGTGGAGATGGGGGAAGGAACGGTGGTTCAGACAACAGGACCGGGGTTGGTGCCCCGGAGCAGCAGCAGCGGTAGCCGCAGTCATAGCAGCACCAGCAGACGCAGCAGCAGCAGTCGTAGCACCAGCCGTAGCAGTGGGGCCGCCTCCCGCCGGGGTGGCCCGGTGCCTCTGGTGGTGGTGGCCGCGGTATCGGCCTTCGCAACTCGGCATCGGGTGGTAGCTTCGGCTCTGTAGGTTGCCAGTACTAGCTCCAGACTGGCCCCCTCCGCGGCACTGTGTGTGGCCGTCCCAGCCACACTGCCGCTCGCTGCTTCCGCCGCCTCGACAACCTCTTCCGTCTCCGCTTCGGCCCTGCCTCGGACCTCCCCGACTGGCCCAGTCTGGTACGCTGCCGTGTTCCCATCTTTGAGATGGATAGAGATAAGCTTTGATCTGCCTTGCATGTCATGTATGCTGATGAATCTAGTGTACCCGGATCTTATTGCCCTGTGTTGCCTAGTGTAGGTGTGTCACCTGAGTGTAGTGTAGGCTCCCCTGCTGCATTAGGCGTAGGATCGTCTGCCTTGTTTAGCCTAGGCTCCACGCTAGCCCCTCCGCCGGCTGTCGCCACCGCTTCGCTATCTTTCACGCTCGACTCTGGTGCATCTGCCTGCTTTTTCCGCGACCACACTGCGCTCACGCCACTTGCTGCCCCTACCGCTGTCGCGCTAGCTGAACCCTCCTCAGGTCCGGTAGTTGCCCGCAGCTCCATTACTCTTCCCTGTCCGACGGTTCCCTCGGGCTCTCTTACGGGCCTACACATCCCCTCATTCTCCAGGAACCTAGTTGGTGCCGGCTTTCTTCAGGACCTCAGCGTCACCACTACGTTCCTCGGAAACGAGCGGTGCGCGATCTGTACCGAGGCCGCCACAGGTGCTCCCCTCACCACGTTCCCCTGGGACCCGGTGTCTGGCCTGTCTACGCTTGACACCGCGTCCCCCTTGGTGAGGGCACCTCCCCAGATACCTGCGTCTACCCATGTCGCTGTCGCTTGCTCATGTCGGTCGCTCACTTACCCGTCGTTTATGTGGCACCACGGCCTAGGTCACCCCGCCCTCCCGCGCCTGCATCACATGTCCCAGCACGGTCTTGTCCTAAGTCTCCCTACGTCGCTCCCTGCCCTCCCTCCCTCGCCTGCGCTGTCATGCACACCCTGCATCGAGGGCCAGATGCGCCGTGCTCCTCACTCCTCCTCGCTTCGCCTTGCCACCGTGCCACTCCAGACCCTGCACCTGAACGTCTGGGGCCCAGCCCCTATCCCCGGGTCGCATCGCGAGCACTACTTTATAGTGCTTGTGGACGACTACACGCGCTACACCATGATGTTTTCCCCTGGAGCGTAAGGCCGACGTGCCTAACGTTCTTATCCCGTGGGTGGTCGCTGCGCGAGTCCACCGCGGCCTCTCCGTACTGTGTCTCCACTCCGCTCGTGGTGACGAGTTTGCTTCCGGTCGACCTGGCCATTTCTGTCGTGCTGAGGGCATCACCCAGTTGTACACCCTGCCGGACTCCCCGTAACAGGATGGGGTCGCTGAGCGATGCATCGGTTTGGTCATGGAGGTGCCTCGTATCTCCATGATCCATGCCGGTGCACCCCATTTTCTGTGGCCGTTCGCTCTTCGCTATGCCGCTCACCAACTTAACCTGTGGCCGCACTCCCAGCGATCGCAGGTTTCACCGACCCATCTCTGGACCGGGTTCCCTGGTGACGCGTCTGCGTTCCACGTCTGGGGCTGCCTTGCTCACGTTCGTCCCACTAGCACGAACAAGCTCACTGCCCGCACTGTTCCTTGTGTCTTTCGTGGCTTCCCTCTCAACGCGTCTGACTGGCACTTT